CTCCCGGTGTCAAGACAGAGTCAAAAGGACCGGGGACGGGAGAGGACGACGGTTGCTGGTACGGCGTAAACTCGCACCTAGACGCACTACAGCATCCCTTGGTTCACAACGTACGCTGACCGGGATTTTACATGCAATAAGGGGGGCACGGCTCGGCTCCCACTAGATAGGAGTGCCATAGAGGCCGCATTAAGGAGCCATTGCAGCCTGACGCCCACCGTGACGAACGCCCTGGGACCCGCGCCGCCTACACGACGGACGGCCAGCGCCTCAACCACAAGCGGATGCACGTCCAGTCGCGTGTATCCACAACCACCGTCCACGAACTTCTCTTCGTCGACAATTGTGTCATCAATACCACCTCGGAAGGGGACGTGCGAAGAAGCATGGATTTCTTCTCCGCCGCCTGCGAGAATTTCGGCCGAATCATCAACACGGAGAAGACAGAGGTCATGCACCTACCGCAACCCAACACTGCCCACAACGCGCCGCAAATCACCGTGAACGGAACCCATCTGCACGTGGTGGACAACAAGTATCTGGGCATCAACAAGATCGACGGCGAAGTGGCCCGCCGAATCTTCCAGGCCAGTAAAGCCTTCGGTCGTCTCCAAAACACAGTTTGGAATCGTCACGGTCTTCAACTCAGCACGAAACTGGAAACGTACAAGGCCATCATCATCCTGACGGTGCTCTATGGAGCAGCGACCTGGACGGTGTACATGCAGCAGGTACGCAGTCTCAATCACTCAGTTGTCTTCGTCGAATACTGAAGCTGAGATGATAGACCGGATCTCAGACACGGACATAACGGAGCGGACGAGAATCCTCGGAATCTACACTATGCTGAGACAACTACAACAACGATAGAGCGGCCACCACATACGGATGGACGACAGGAGGCTACCCAAAAGACTCTCCTATGGAGACGTCGCGACGGGTTCACGCCGACCAGGTCAAGTCGGGTGCTAAAACAGTTCTCTGAAAACCTCCGTGAAGCGCCTGCAGATCAACCCGGCAAACTGGAAAGACATTGCTTGGGAACGACCTACCTGATGGAGAACAGTGAAGACAGGCGCAGTAATCTTCGAAGCCAACCGCATCACCGCTACCAAAGCCAAACGCGAGACACGCAAATCTCAACTGCCGCCGTCGCCACCGCCGCCTCAACGCCAACGCCCAACCACTTCCAGCCTGTCCACGATGTCAACGGACATTCCAGATGACAATTGGACTTGTTGGACACCTTCGGACCAACTGCAGCACCCGGACTGTACCAACCGTCATCTCTCTGTCCACCTTTCCCTCGCCTCGCATGCCTTCAACTAACGTTGTCCGCCTTCCGAACCGTCATAACCATCCTTGTCCTCCATCCCCCCTACCTCAACGTCTGCAGCTGTGACGTCTGCCATGCCCATCAACACTACACACAGTCCTGACACACCAAGGAACACTAACACTACCACCACCACCACCAACTCGAGTGACGAGAACCGGGTCTATACCTGTTCACATTGCAATCGCACCTTCACTTCACACATCGGCCTGTCGGTCACGCCCACGCACCTTCGTGCATGGCATGGACGTATTCGGTCACATGCGTATCTACGAGAACGGAACTGATCGCAGCCCCGACACACCTAGTACCTCCTGCACATCCACCATGCCTAGCCTCACCAACACTCCGCCGCCTAGCGCGTTCCCCGCCAACAGCTCCATCACACCCAGTGCATCCTCCACACCCACCATGCTCAGTCCACCACATACTCGCCTACCACTACCAGCCTCATCATCATCATCATCATCATCATCATCATCATCATCACCGAAGCCGATACTGACACCGTCGTCTTCTCATATCCCATCGTCCCCGTACATTCACTTCACGCATCGGCCTGATCGGTCATTTGCGAATCCATCGTCCAGAGACTATCGAAAGAGTGCTTGGAGCACCAACCTCTACTCGCCGCATTCGCCTCCACTGTCCACATTGCACTCACACATTTATTCACCGCATGGGTCCATTAGGTCACATGCGCGTCTACAAAAACCTGCGGTGGACAACTGCCGGCTGCACCACACCATCACATCCTCCATTACCAGCATCTTACCGCACATCAACATCACCCACCGCAAGAACCCAACTGCCACCTCCCACACAAGTGGGAAGTGTGCGTCTCGGCTCCTTATCCACGTGGCTCCTCCGCTGCAAGTGTGATCGGAATCTGAGACGAAGACGATGCGTCGAGCGCCGTGGCTCGGAAGGTAGCCGACTGACGCCCCAACTCAGTCCACGAAGTTTGCCCAGTTGTGTGTGTTGGCGGACTGGTGGGCTGAGAGCCAGGCCGTCACGATCCTTTATCAAGAAATTTGTGTCACTGTCATGTATGTGAGGAGTGTGTGTGCTTTATGGGTAGTGCCTCTCAGTCGACGACTGCTCGGTTACCTAACCTTGAAGGGTGAAAGACCAGGCTAAATGCAGGGCCACGTGTCGCCCTTCGACGTCAAAAGGTCTGAAAGCTTGTACTGTGCCAGTACCAGCAAACAATGACCCTTGCAGTCTGGTGTGCGCTGACAGTTCCCTGACACCTGGTTTCCTGTCGGTAGATGCGCTTGAGCTCCCGCTGGGCATACAAGTGGTGGGCCAGTCGTCACCCTCGTCCTTCTGACCCCTGTTCGGATGTTGTTGTTGCTGCTGCTGTGGATGTTGGTGAAAAATCCTAGTCAGGTGGATGTTATGGACCAGGGGATGTGGTGGTCCGCCAAGGTGCGGGCTCGACCGTGCCATCCACCTGCGCCATCCCCCGCCTCCGGTCTTCTTGAATCTGTCTTGACACCGGCTCCAGGTGGGAGGTGGGAAATAGAGGGTGCAGTAAGTCTAAATTCACTATAAACTAATTCACGCGCAAGTCGCCGTGAAGCACACGGCGGACATCGTCGGCAACGACAGACGAACTGTCGTGTGTATAGATAATGAATTGGTCCCCGAATTTCCGAGGCCAGCCAAGCATTCGATTGCCTGCAGAACACTGTCTGGAATCGTCACGGTCCTCATCTCGGCAAAAAATCAAAGATGTACAAAGCAGGCATCTTGCCTAAGCTGCTATACGGAGCAAAGCTCTGGACGGTGTGCAAGGAGGCGCGAAGACTCAACCACCTCCGCCTCAGCTGTCTTCGGCGGATACTAAGGCTGAGGTGGCAGGACCGGATCCCAGACACGGCCACAGCCAAACGCGAAGCTCGCAACTCTCAAATGCGCCCACCTCGCAACGCCGACGCTCAACAGGCCCCGACTAACCAAGGACGTCAACGGACGTCCCGGGGACCAATCGGTCTCATTGAACATCTTTGTACTAACTGCAGCACATGGACGACACCACCCGATGTCCCTCCGTCCAACTCGGACTCGCCCCCCACTTCGACAATCAACACCGAACGCACTTCTGAACCCCAACTACCATTCTCCTCTATCGCCTCAACATCCGCTGCGACGGCTTCCATATCCACCATCACTGCACACAATCCTGACACACCAACAAGCATCAACCACACCACTGCCAACACCAGAGATGTGGACTCGGTCCATACAAGTCCTCATTGCGATTGCACCTTCACCTCACACATCGGCCCGGTCGGTCGTTTGCGAATCCGTCGCACAGAGATTGAAAAACCAGTGACTGGAGCGCCAACATACACTAGACGAATCCGCTTCGACTGACCTCACTGCACCCGCACATTAAATCACCGTATGGGCCTACTAGGTCACACGCGCACTCACGAAAACCTGCGGTAGACAACCGCCGGCTGCACCGCACCATCACATGTTCCCCTACCAGCACCTGCATCACACAACATCATCTACCACAAGCGTCCAAACGCCACCTCTCACGCAAGTGGGAAGTGTGCATATCGGCTTCGTCTCCATGCGGCTCCTCTGCTGCACGTGTGATTCGAGTGCGAAACTATAACGATGCGTCAGCGCCGTGGTCTGGAAGGCCGTTGACTGACGCTCCAACACAGTTCACGCAATCTGCCCAGTTGTGTGCGCGTCTGTGTGGAGTGGCGGACTGGTGGGCTGAGAGCCAGGCTGTCACAGCTCCCTCTTACAATGACACAAGGCACTCTCACGCACATGAGATGTATGCCGCCCAACGCCCGTTGTGTGAAGTCCTGGTGTTTGTGTTTGGGGGCCGGGTCGTAAATGTGGCGCGCGCGCAGACAAGGTCACAAGATATATCAGTCACCGCGCCCATTCCCCGCACCTGTCAAATGATCGACTCGGACAGTGGCTGGGGCATAGGAAGGAGGGATGAGGTCGACACCTCAGTGCATGTTCCCCACTACAAACAATCTGACGCCCTTAAAGCTAGCACGCTGTGCTAAAAGCCGTGGCTTGGAAGGTTGCCAACTGACGGGATAACCTGGACCTTGGAGTCGGTCTAGTGTTGTGCGTTCGTATGGAGCGGCCGATTGGTGGTCTAAGAGTCAGGCTACAATGGCTCCTCCTTGATGTGGCCCTTATGGCACTCCTACTGCATGGAATCCGAGCCGAGTATGGCGGCACGCCTATGCGCGGCTTCGGCCGCGCCAGCCCCTTTCTTGTTGTTAGTCAAAATCCTGGTCATTTGCTGTGGACAAGAGTGTGAAAGGTGCGGGCTCGACCGTGCCATCCACCTGCGCCCTCGCCCGCTTTCGGTCTTCTTGACTGTCTTGACACCAGCTCCAGGTGTGGGAGGAGAGAGTGCGGTAGATGCCGCGCAAGTCTACATTCACTATAAACTAAAGCACGCGCAAGTTACCGTGCCTGCTTAACCTTACTGTGGAACACACGGTGGACATCATCGGCAACGACGGTCGAACTGTCGTGTACAATAATTCCTCAATTTCGTTTACGCGAAGCCAGGACTGTGCCTGAATCTCAGTAGTCGTATTGGATTGAGACAGCACAGGTATCCGAGTGCTTTCTGGAGTGGCGTGCACCGTCCTGCCTTTGGGCCTTGGCTCTACCGCCATGCAACCGCCTCCGTGGGCTGTGGACCCTCAGCCCAAATGCAAGGCGGAAACGTTCATTCCCGTCCAGCAATCCGGATAACTCGTGTACCTAGATACTCCCGATCTCAGTCAGCATAACCCGAGTCCCTCGTGCAATGATGAGAGCAGTGCTGCACAATAAAACGACTCGGATTCAAACCTCGGGCTGGTAGACCACTGGCTGATGATGGCAGATGACCCAGAAAAGGCCATTTCCGTGGCCCTGTCTTTTCAGCAAGAAACCTCTCGGCCCGAGTTCCTCGAGAGATCCAAATGGGTGCGCGCTTTTTTCTTATTGAGCGTAAATGTTTTCATTTTATAAGAAACTATCACTTGTGAGAACAGCAAAACATACCAGATGTCACCGTATAGTAATCCAAGTAAAGCCGCCCATTAGTCTCCGTGTAACCACGACTACGTTCACAGAAACCCTCCACGTTATTTGGAGCATTTATCGTGACACAAGCGTGAGCCCAGCTTACACGCTTTTCGGGGACTATGATGACTACAAGTGTCCAGAATGATCATGAATGCTGCACCAGATTGTAAGCATTTAAGTAAGAAGGCGCGCACAAAGGTCAGAAAAAACAAAGTGTTCTCACTCTGTTTTTTCATTTTGGAAATCGGATACAAATGTACACAGAGGGATAGTCGGAGAGGGTCCCCTCAAAAGTGAAGAATATTTGCGACAGAAATTCTCAACAGCTCCCGTTTTTCTTCCTCCAGTTCGGCGCACTTCGCCTTTAGCGAGTCCAGCTCCTTGGAGTCGATGTCCTTTACAGTCTCCAAAACGTGGATCGATTTGGCAAACGGAGCATTCACAGTTCTGTCAGTGATCATTCTTATGAAATCGTCTTTGTAAACACTTTCTGCAAGTGAGTCAGGTAGACGGTCCTACAAGTAAAAACACGTAAAAATCCACTTCTAGGAAATCGATCATACTTATTACAAGCATGCATAAGCAGACACGTTTTACAGGTTTTAAAAAATACTACTTAGTACAAGGACCGGAGTATGAGCGGCGGGCACCAGAAGAGGTCAGTACGGAGTAGCCAAAATCACTTCGTTGATTGTCACCCCAACGGAGTGAACCGTGTACTCCTACTTGGACGCAAGAGACCGAAGTTCGTCTGTCGCAAACACTGATGAGCACTGCTACCGAAATAGAACAGTGAGAACTCGGGTATGATTAGGCTCGGTGTGATGGAGACTTCTGCAGTGTCGGTTTCACCCTCTGGTCCCAATCCCATCGTTGTTGGGTGGCACAACCACGCCCAGACGACCGGCGATGAAACAGGACGTAGCGACCGATCTGGCACAGAGTTCCGGTCTACGAGTGCACAAAGCAACCGGCTCCTTACTTACGGAACCCAGTTAAATTTCATCTGGTTTCACTCGCCAGTAGAGACGGTCGCATCCAGATCTGACCGCCCTACACTCAGCACAACTTAGTGAGCACTGGGTTCGGGGCGGGGGGGGGGGGGAGGCAGAATGAAGTGGCCACCTCAGCGTCCGCTCAGGCTGTAAATCCATCAAAGTGACTAGCCCCATACCGAAAGTTTACCCGTTGTAATCGACTGGGGAGGATTGTAGCGAAGGAGTGTGCGTATAGTTGAAGCGGCTGGGTGCGCTGTATATTGGGCATATACTGGAGGGTTTTTGTCGCTGTTGCTAGTGGACGGGAAACAGTAACAGCGAATGCGCAGTCTACCCGGGTGTCGAGCGTGTGAGACAGGTCCAGAAGTAGAGTCGAGGCAAATGGCGAACCAATCAAAGTCACGACTTGGCGAGTCGTCAGATGGAAAGGTAACTAAGTCCTTCCCCGGACTGACGATCAGGCTACAATGGGTCTTCCTTAACAAACCTATCTAATAACGGACATCATTCCTTTTTTCTCTGCAGTCTGGATCGTGTGAGCCTAGGGACCACCACATGTGCAGCACCTAAAGATCGGTTGTTTTACTCTCTCAACAACTACACCTCCACCCATTCCCAACCGTCCTGGCGTTCTTTTGCCATCGGATTAACGACCAGGAAGGGGGGGGAGGGAATGAGGCAGACAGAGTGAAAGTTTACCTCATTATGAACAGTTCAACACTGCTGTCTCGGGACAGTAGAGGTCTTTGTCACTCGTGATGGGTCAACCATCTTGTTGAAGGATGACTTGGTTTGAATAGCAACGGCACAACTGATTCGAGATGCAGGGTAGGGTATATGGATTACAACACCGTTCTTGTCACAGTTTGCCATTACCGGCAGATCCAGCACGAGGGCATACCAGGAGGTGGTTGATTACGAGACGTTGGAGTGAGGCCTCTGACATGTCACCGTAGCGTTTTTTCTGTCCTCGTTGTCGTCTGGTGTCTGTATCAACGTCATCACAGGACAATCGTTTCGACAGGTACTGATTTGATGGCTTCAAGACGTGTTCATTCCAACAAAAGTGGAGATGCGTCAACATTGAGGAGATACTGAGCATACCAGTCGATTTCAGAACTTGGGCGTGCGGAATTCATTCACGCTACTTTATCTTCGGCATTTTCTGAAAACAGCCTAGGTGGTAGTGGCTGAACTTCGTCTGATTGGTTTGGACACATTCTCCGTGTCTCTGGGCCGTAGAGAAACGCTTTCAGGACGACATCCAAGTACATCCTTAGTTTTGCCTAAAGGAGTATGACGTGACGCTTTCACACTGAGATGTGAAGTCCGTCAGAGGCCTGACTGACTTTCGGGACGCAGGCTGCCATTGCATCGTTGATTCTGATGCTTCCCAGATAAACTAATTCATCCGCAACGATGAAGTAAATGTCTGCCGTGAGTTGCGGTTCCGCATATTCCGTGGTTGGTGACGATTAAGGCATTACAAGCTTTTCCTTCGTATTAATAGCTATTCGAAGGTAGCGCATCCGCGGAGCAAAGAGGTCATCCATCCTCACCTAGGTTTTCATGAAGGCGAGCATGGGTAGTATGTGGGATGGTTTTTCGCCGGTCCGATTGTCGATGCAAGTCATGGTTGCTCCTTACGAGAAACTACATCAGCATTACAGAAAATATAAATGTGACGATGGTTAGAGCGAGTATGTAATTCGGCTTTAACCCCCTTGCCATGAAGAAGGCTTCCGAGGTTGACCTGCTGTTTCTGGTTGGTGTCATCATGCTGTCGCATTCACCAAAGTGGACTTTTCGGGGTATCTGGATTTCATACTCATTTTACTGAGACCGGTTTAGCCTGAGCTGTCACAGGTGTGATCGAGGAATATCGTGTAAAAGTTAGTCCCCACTCCTTGCCATTTTTAATCGATTTTTCATGCAGCAAAGTCAGGTCGACTGTTCCGTGATGTTGCCAGAATCAATGTGAAGGTGCCCCTGCGCTATTATGCGAGAGCGAAGGTCTTTCTAGCAACGCCGAAGAATAACATGCACATTGTGATTGCAGACCTGTCGGTCCTCTTCACACTTTTGAAGGTGAAGGACAGTGACATCCTTGAAGTCCTGCGCGATAAGTCCTCAATGCCACACTTCTTGGTGTCTCGTGCCCCCCCCCCCCAACTCCGCAAAAAAATCCACAAGAGAATTACCTGTCGCAAATTGGGCAGACGAAGGTAGAAGAGATCATCGTGGCTCCAGCCCAGTTGTCGCTTGAAGGGACGCAGACTCACGAAGGGATCCTCCCTCCAGTCCTCTGAA